ACATGCCCACCCAGGCTCCGCAAAGGCAAAAAACATCAGGATACGTCATGATACGTCATGTGACATGATCGAGTTTGACACCCGGGCTCTAGAGGGAGATAGAAAAGATTGATTGTAGATATTGCATCTGCATTAGATTCACACAGAAAAGGAATGGTTAACAATTAACTTTAAAGCTGGGGAGCAGGGGCATTGTGGGGATCCGCCCTGGAACACAATCATCCCAGTAGGCTACAGAAGAAATAGAGATTCCTGATCTGATAGTGAGTCTTGTACATTTCCAAGGTAATTTTTTTCTTCACTAAGGAAAATGATAGAGGAAGAATGTTCATAAATCAAAATGGCTTTTGCATTACTTTATGCAATCTGTGGTAGAAAGGGTCCAGTCCCTGGCTGACCAAAAAGACGTCTGAAAATCCTCTCAATCTCTCTTGAATATTCTACAGCACAACTCATTGAAATAAGTGTTTGTTTCCATTAGATTTACACGCAAAAAGTTCTTATAGGGTTTCTATAAATCAGATTAGCAATGCATAACTATCACGTACATCTTAAATCCATCTTTGCCTCTATCAGATATAAAGAGGGCTATGCAGGAGAAGGTAGGAAAATTCTATTCAGTTCATTTCTTTAAGCCATTTTTCCTCAGCCTACTTTGCTACCTGAAATGAGCTGGAGAGGGAGAAAACTTTAAAATAAAGTAAGGAGGGAGGTTATACCATTTTATCCACACTCATCTTTGTGAGAAGGAGACTTCCATTATTCTTATCCACACAGCAAATCCATGCTTAAGGGTATGTGCATGTCTTGTTTGGCCATTCTTCAGACAAAAAAAAAAATGTCTTGGACCGACCTTGGTGCCTCCCATTCTGATTGGGTAGCCATTAATTTTGCCAAGTTGGTCTTTATATTTGGTATCTTAACTCCATGCTATCTTGGCTTCTGTTTTTTTAGAGATGCTGAGAAACGAGCCCAGGAAGCAGAGGAAAAGTCAGAAGCCCTCCATGAGGAATTGGAGGAAGCTCTGAAAAAACTCCAGGATTTGGAAGATGAGGAACCGGAGCTTAAAGATTCTGACAAAAAAGCAGAAAAATCCAGAAAAGGTACGATTAAAACCTAAGAGATGGAATTTTAAATTTCTAGTAGAAATACAGACCATTTTCTATATTCCTCTTTTAGGCCTTCAAGAAATTCTGAGGTTTGTGGTCAAATACATCTGTAGGGCACTAGTTTGAAGACGGCATAATGAGTTATTGTGATAATTTCAGGTGTATATACCTTTATGATGTATATATTGTAAGAACTGGGATTGAATTAAAACAGATTGCCTGAAATAGTTCTAAAAGCTAATACCAGAATGTTATGTCTCACCTGTATCCACAGGTGAGCAATCAAAATTCTAAAGTTCCAAAAATATAAGCAACCAAAAACAAACCCCAACAAAGATAACTGCTGAGGTTTTTCCAGTCCTCAGCAGTAATTCTGAAATCTGTCTGGCAATCCTGAAGTGCCTATAAATCACAATGCCTCAGATAATCTTCACAGTACTTTCGCTCTAACAAGACATTTTGCTTCTGGCAAATTTCTCAAGCCAATCCGTTTCCTTTTATCCCCTAAGGGGGCGTGTTAGTCTCATTAATTAATCACTGGCTTGATGCCTCTTTCCCAATTGAGATTGACATCTCAATCTCCGTCTATTTCTCACGTCAAGCCAGGATCCCTCAAAGTCCTCCTCACTTGAAACCTCTCGCACGTTTTCCTGATTATCTGCTACCGGCTGCTGCGTAATCAGAGAGGGAGATTCGGGGGAGGGAGAGGACTCCAACACCTCCAATAAATTAGGTTCGTCTCTCATAGCTAAGTCCACTTCCTCATCCTGGCTACCCTCAAAATCACTCAACAATGCAGGCTCAAATCTCACTGCTAGATCCTCTTCACTCGAGCTCACATCTGCTAACGGACCAGATTCAAATCCCGGAGTCACAACACCAGAATATCTGGAAAATGTTTTATTTGACTCTACCTTTTTGGATGTATTACGTAGTTTGTTTTAACTATGGTTTATTGAATAATGATTAGAATCACACAAGTTTTAGATCTCCGTGTTGTGCCTTACAATTAAAATAACTGTGTCACACAATGTTATGAGAAAACATTATGGGTTAGACTAGAGTGATAAGTCAATCTAGTGTCTCTATGTTCTCCATCAAATAAGGCCTCTTTGAAGGGCTGGAATAATTCCACAGGCTTAAGTAGGAAAAAAAAACCAGCAGCTACATTTCTTCCTACTTCTGCTTTTGCTTTCTCCTAGGCTTGTGCTTTTTTTTCCTCCTCCCCTCACAGCCTTAAGCTTTCAGGCAGTAAGACTGGAAGTACTTCTATTCTGAGGATAAAGCTTACTCCTAAGGAGGAGGGTGTTTTCTGTTCATCGTTCATGTTTTATCCCAATAACCACCACATTATTCAGCAAAAAACAAAGAGGTATCTTCATTCCACAAGAAGCTTTGACCTCTCCCTCCTAAACCATGTGCTCCATTTTAGAATATCTTCAGCCCATTTCGTTTGGTTGTAAAGTACTGTCAGAGGTAACTTGTAATTGTTACCTAATATATGGAGAAAGGAATAAAGATGTGCTGGAAAGGAATAAAGATGCACCTCATAAAAAGCTCCAGGCAAATCATGCACTGTTTTTCTCACTAAGACAAAATAATCTTTGAGTATATCGATATTCAATATCTGATCAAAAGCTCACAGCCATTGGCTCTTACACTGATTATTGGTAGTCCTTGTGACCTCAGTTGGAACCAGAATTTGTTGTTAAGCAAGGTGGTTGTTAAGGGAGTTAAGGGAGTTTTTCAATTGATTTATTTTATTTATTTATTTATTTATTTTTTTAGGGCCGTGGGTATGCCGCCCTTATGCACTTTTACAGCTCCTTAAGAATTCTGCACAGAGGGATAACAATGGACAATCCAATTCTTTTTTATCCCTGTTATAAGGATTATTAAATACTTCCAATTATCTTCTATTGCAGAAACTTCTCATAAGAAAGCTTCTGATAAAGCTAAACCATCCACTCCTCGACCCAAGAAATCACCCAAACCCAAGCGCTGAAGACGAGTGTGGCTGCAAGAAATTCTTTGGCTCCTGACTGTTGTTATAGGAGTTTTGGCTGCAGTATGAGCACTGCCTATCCCTGAAATACAAAATTACAATTGCAATTCTTCTGGTTGTATTAATATGCTATAGGGACAGGAGTTAAATGAAGATTCTAAAATTGTTTCTCATTTTTATTACTTATTTAAAAAATCATCAAGATCTAATTTTGCCTTGTTCTGATATGTTTAGATATACATCTCCAGAAACTGCAGATTGGGTTAAGAATATTTTCCGGCCACTTTTATTGTGCTCTGTTTGTATTATATAATATACGTTTTGCAGTACCTTATAGCATGCAAGAGGCAGTATCATCTTTGGCATGACCTCTTTGCCTCACTCAAAGCCTCTTGTAACAAAGTGCTGACAGTGAGGGGTATCAGCACTGCATCCCACCAGCCTTGTCTTGAAAAGATGGCCTTGAAAAATGAGGTGAAATGAGGCTTTTTAAGGGGAAAAAAAGCATGCATGCATGAGCCAGAACGCCGTCATTCCCATTCTGCCAAAAAGAAAAGTTTTATATATCTTGTTTTGAATGATATCAAAATTAAGAGGCTACAATTATTTTTCATTGACGACCTTATAGTTTCAGACCCCTGAGCCATCACTTCATGGGTTTAAAAGTATTTTAATTTTTTTAACTGATTGCTTTTGCTTCGCATGTGACTAGTAGTTACTTTTGAGCACAAAGAACACCTACGAAGTCATACATGAGGGAATTATCTCCCATGCTAATGAATGGTAGGTGATCATGACAAGATCCAGGCTAGCCTGAGTCATGGACAGGGCTCTTTTTCATCCCAGCCTGGCTCTAGCAAAATCAAGAAAGGGAATCCACAGATGGATCCAACAGGGCAGAACAAGTAAAAATCCTTACAAGTAAAAATCCATCATTACAGTTTGATAAACTGAATTATATGCCAGTGGTAATAATTCTTCCCCAGTAAGCTGCTATAGCACCATGGTGACTGATTGATTCCACATACTCTTTGGATGAAATGGATTTTCCAGAGTCTCCTGTTAAAATTTAGATCTGGTCTTGCATCAAAGCATCATTGCTGGCAAAGGGATGGAGCAGGAATTATCTTAGATCTCTCGGTGGTTTTCAGTAAGTTCTCAACTTATCAATATATCTTCTTTGTGGAACTTTTGAAGACAGCTTCGATGTCTTCAATGTCGGGCTGGATAGTTGTCGAGGTTTATCCACAATACTTGGCTTCCCCTTGCTCGCTGCTTTGTTCAGACATCAATGCAGGGTCCCCTCAGTAGAGTAAAATTGGGGGGAATTTTTCTCTCTCTCTGGATTGATCACTATTGCAGAGCCAGTTTTATGTAAGGACCAGCCTCTCCTCTCCCCGCATCAAATAGACTCTTGAAAACTTTGTATTTCAAAAGGAACTTTTTATTGAAAAGGGGTGAAAGCAAGTCAAAATTCAAGGCAGGCTCTGAGGCATACAACTAGGATATAGGAAATTAGAAACCCTTCTCAATAGTTTGATGTGGATTCCACCAATCCACAGATGTGAAGATGTTATTGTACCAGGGTCTCTGAGAAAGCAGATAAGAAATTTTTTTCCGGGCTATCTTCAAGGGTTGCAATCCACATGGCCCCCCTCCTCCCCTTGCATTCCCCCAAGAGATGAAAATTTTCCGGGCATTTGAGGTACCAGGCAATGGTTATAAATCAGGTAAAAGATTATGCAAAAGACAAGGCAAGAAATACAAAGAGAGGAGAAAATGAACTAAATGTATCAAATCTACCCCCCTCCCTTTCTTTCACTGAAGAATGGCAGATACATGGATCTGACATACAGCTTGAAATCATCTTTTGAATTCTACAGTTTCTACAACATGTGGGAATCCTTGCCCTTGGACGTTTCTGGATTATTGTCACAACCTGAGGGGTTGTAGCCAGTGGATGTTTGATTTACTGCAACTGAAAGGCTCAGGGGGTCAAAGGGTAAAGGCAGGACAAGGGTTGGAGGTTTTTCAGAAGACAAGTTCTGCAGAATGTGGAGGTAACGGAGCTGGATAGCAGCTGGAGTATGGGACAATGCCTCAGCTGCTATCTTCAGAGATTCAGAAGCAGCTTTTTCACCTTCAGCAGCGATCACCTACAACACAAAGGCCATTTGAGAATTGAATCTATTATTTCTATAACCGTATCACTGAGAGATATTGCCTTTCCTTAGCTTACATTAGAAAGAAAAAATACGTTCTACCTTCTATATTGTGACACTGTATTACTTTGTCCAAGAATCATCTGCAATATTTAGCTTAGTCCCAATTTTGTCCAGTGTTCAATAAAAATATCTGAACCACCGTTCCTATACACAGCAGAGATTCTTTTAGTTCTTCCCCTTCAGCAATTTACAAGCTAATTTCTATTCCTGTAGATGCAGATTATTTATTGCCCTGCATATTTTTGCTTGTTTGTTCCGTACCAAAATAATAGTACTTTGTGCAAGCACTTTCTCAGGAAACCTGGTAACTAAATTCACACAAAACAGAGTAGGGAGATGAAGCAGGGCAGAAGGTGGTGTCTTACAAGTTATGAAAAGCTATAAGATTCATAGTTATCGGAAATTGGAAAGTAGCTATATGGATCATGGAGACTAGTCTATGGGAGGTCACTAACACTCTCCATTCTTCCTGTCTGCTAGCTTGCTTACAGTTAATATTGTTGTATGGGCTGTCATTAGCAGGTTTCTCTTCCTCTGCCCTGCCACTCCCCCTGAATCCAATACCACCAGAGGAAAAGCATTTCCTCTCCCTGTGATCTCCTATAATAAAAATGTAGTGCTGACTTACCCTCACTTTAGCATGACGCTGGGCTTCTGCTTGTGCAGATAGTGACACCTGGAGCTCAGCTGGCAGCCGAATGTCTTTACTGAAATAAAAATAGGAAACTGAAAGAAAGGCTAGTCTCCAAGCTTAGAAACAATAGAAGACGCTTGACATCTTGAGAATATATGTATGGTTTTTGGTGACTATTTTTTTTTCTTGTCATGGACAATGATATGCCATCTGATCTAATTATACCAACTTAATTCAGTTTTTCACTTCTGAGGCAAATTTTGGGCTGATATGCTAGTTGAATATTTGTCCCAGGTGCTACCTGTCAGTCAGCTCATTTGGAGCTTCACTACCATTATCTCCATACCATGCCAACTGATTTCTTATCCACATTGCCTGCTTCAGGAATCAGATTGGGGTTCTAGAAATAGTCTGCCTACCCTGGTTTGATCCATGTTTAATTTGTTTTGACTTCTGTCAAGTTTAGAAGTGAGATTCATTCTCACAAGACACCAATCCGGTATTTACAGATACAAATTTTCTTCGAAGATAAATTTTTATTCATTAATAAAGAAACTAGTGCTGTCTTTTTATTTCTTTTGTTCTAAAAACAGTCTAGAGTCTCTCTCAATTAACTCTATATACGCAGATTTGACCACAATTGCAAAAGCTGTGTCCCCTGCCTGGCCACTCAGGACTATATCCGCACCCACCACAATCCCCAGTTACGTTAAGGAGATTAAGGAGTCTATCATCATGGAGAGCTGATATTCTTCTCCTAAGCCCTATATTGACATTCTCCTAGTTATGTTTTTTGGCAACAGTAAACATGATATACCCCAAAGGAACACCATTTTTTGAATTTTATGGGACCCTCACAGACATATGCAACAATCACTTTATGCCATATCTCCGAAGCTCAAATGCAATTTGATTGAGAGTTGTCATACCATCTCTCCCCAAAATGTCTCTGGTCAGTTTCTGGAAGTTCTCCCCTATGATCTCATTCACTATAATCTCATTTTGAAAAAGCTGAAGATAGGGGACCAAGGGTGGTATTATTCTCTTTCAGAGTTGAAAATAGATTTGCAAGGCCTTGAATTCATTACTCTTGCTCCCCTTTGCCCCCTCTATGCATTTTACACAAACAAATGCCTTTTTTAAAAAAAATTCCCTATTTTTGTATGGCTGCCATGGCATAAATATTTACATGCAAAGTGACTCCACAGGAATAAATCAAGGCTAAAGCATTTTGGAAGTGATTAAGTTAGGGCAGAGTATGAATCCATATATAGAGTTATAATCCATGAATGGTTTCCAAGTTAATTTAAATTTTACATCAGACATTTTTTTAGATGGGAAATTATTTTTGACACAGAGACATATTCCCATAGTTTAATTTGCCAATCTTCTGAAAAGTTAAATTACATGTTATTTGGACATTGTTCTTCTTCAAGTACAATCTAACCAGTGCAGAATACAATGAAACTTTAATTCCTATGAACTGGTTGCAATGTAACACAATTCAAGCCTGCATTGGGGTTTTTTAGATGCTTATGCTTGTTAGAAATAAGAAAATTCAAAAATAAAATGTAGATGTAAAATGTAAAATGTAGATGTATATTATAGCATTAAGACAGTTCTCTGTAGACATCCTCCTATATCAAGTAAAGCCACCCCTATTTCCTTCAGGATTAGGAGGACAATAGGAGAAGAGATAAACCATTGCCCTAACTTTCTTTAATCAATTGAAGTTAGATTTTGTTTTTCAAAGCATCAGCTTAAGTTTACCAGACTTTTACTTTGCATAAGTGAATATGTTAGAGATGCATGTTGTTCTAAGTTGTGCTGAATGTAACATTAATATGTAACAAGTGTGGTGTTAGGAATAGATATTTCTTTGTTCTCAGACCGTTAGAAAGAGGCCCTGCTGAAGGAACATTCTTTAATGCCAAGTAAGATAAGAAAAAGCCATGTTGGCAAAATGTGTGATAGGTGGTCATTGGGAGGTATCAAAGGAGATGATGTGGTCTCCATAAGGCATCTCTGATTAGCTGTGCTTGGTCACTGGGTCAATGTAGGAGGGGTGTGGGAGGAAGGAGCAGGTAAAGGGCTCGAAGTCAGAAACAACTTAAAAAGCGAAGACTCCAGAGTGGAAGGGATGAGTGTGGAGATTAAGCAGCAGCGGCTTAATTTATGTTTTTACCCTCTAACTCTGGAAGTTAAATGGCAGCTTGAGAAAAGAGTGATTAAAGGAGAAAAAAGGGGGACTAGATGAGAAGAAGAAGTGTGAAGAAGGTTTTTATTCAGGAAAACTTCCTTTTGAAATTGAGATTGATTGTGAATTCCGATGATGGAAGAACTGGAATGATGTCTGCAGTCTCCATTTAAATCAAATCACCAAAAATAATTCTAAACGGCCACCAATTGGGGAGAACAAAGGAGATTCACAGAGAATTGATAGTCTCCATATAAATCACCCAGCTCCATTTAAACAACCCGGTTGATTAGTCAGCCTGAATTTAAATTCCCACTCAGCTGATTGGACAACCTCCACTAAACCCCCACCCAAATCTCATCCTTTCCAAACTCCAAAGTAGATGATTGGTGAGCTCATTCAAATCTTCTCCATTCAAATCTATCAAACAGCAACGCTTCCTCTTTAAAACAACAACAAAACAAAAATTAAAAAACGTGCCTTTAAGGAAAAACAAAGGAACTTTACACCACAAACCTCCAATACTATACTACCTCCACTATTTCAGTACCTCAAGACCAAATATTTATAGATAATGCTTTGTCTATAATCATTGATTTATCATATAATAGTATAATAATTAATTGTTAAATGACCACTAATTTACTGATTCATTGAACTAATAGAGATTTAATACTGTATCATTGATTATCAATCGATTGATTGATTCTTAGTAATAAGTTGGTTGATTTTTAGTAATAAGTAACCTTACTTTTGATTTGTCCTCTAACTTATCAATTAAAATTTATTAATTACCAACATTCATTAAGTAACTGTCTACCTATCACATTAATTACCTATTGTAATTGTTTAGTGTACTATTGTCATTGACCATGCCAGCCAGAAACTCCAGAAACTCCAAATCCTCCACTACCAAACAACAACAACAAAATAATATCTCTACCAATGACCTCCCAGACTCCTGTACATGCTTCAGATATCTTAAAACCATCAACGAAAGTGAAAATAACATCAAATGCTACCAATGTGACAATCAAGCCCACCTTGCCTGCTTAAACTTAAACAAAGACCTAGCTGATCTCCTAAAAACATCAGATACTTTCCCTTGTCTATGTCCATCATGTTTTCCTAAGCTAAACAAACCAAGTACCCTGCCTGACAGAGCTGATAGCATAGAATCACTCATGCACTCAATAGAAAAACGCTTAGCAACGCGTTTTGAAACAATTATACAAGAAAGCCTAATTTCTCTTGGAAAAAAATACAGCACTGATAAGCGACTACCTATCAGCTCAAAATCAAATCCCAACCCAACAACCACTACCACAACTACTACCTCAACTACAATCACAACTACAACCAAAAATAACCACCAAACCACAACCACAAATAATTACTATCCCATCAAATAATTCCACAAATGATATCTCTTTACTCATCAGAGACACCATTGAACGTGATCAGAAATGTCCAAATGCCATCTTATTTGGTCTTGAAGACACCAACGAATCAGATCACATCACCAAAGTTCGTAATATCATAAGCAACTCAAATACAACAAACATCTCTCCTGAAGATATCATTGAAGTAACCAGAGATGGCCCTGAGTCCAAATACAATGATGGCTCAGTGGCCCCCAAATTTTATAGAGTTGTTTGCAAAAATGAGTCCAGCAAACGCATATTCATTCATACAATAAACGCCATTGCAAAAGCCAATCCCAACCACAAAAAACTTCGCTCAAGACCAGACTTATCCATACTGCAAAGAATCCGCTCCCATGAACTCTGCGCAGAATTCAAAAACCCTCTAGACAATGGAGAAAAGGACCTATACATTGACTACAGAGCTGATTGCATCAAAAGAAAGTCACACAACCCACAGCTCCACATCCAACCCTACCTCATCCAACCCACCATAACTCAAAGCTAGGCATGCATGCCCCTAACTACCTCAATTCCAACTACAACTGGCCTTAAATGCAAGCTACTCAATGCAAGAAGCCTTGTGAATAAAATACCTGAATTACTCCTCTGACTAAATGTGGCTAAATTCGACATCATATTTGTCTGTGAAACATGGCTCAATGCATCTCTCCCTGACTCCATTACCACAGTAAGAGACTAACATGTTTACCGATCAGATCGTGAAATCCATATCTTTCTTGGTGACTTCAATCTACCTCACATTAACTGGACCCTAAACGAATATAAAACTGAACCCATACATGCAACCTTCTACAATGCTGTAACAAACCTGGGACTGGAACAACTAGTAACCAACAATATTAGACTTAACAACTGCCTCAATCTCATCTTCTGCAATAGTTTGAATTCAATTTACGGAATACAAATTAAAGAACCCTTCTCCAACAGTGACCACAGCATGATTGACTTTTGTCTCAACATATATCCACACAAAAATCAACACAACGATATGATCCCCAATTATAACTTCAAAAAAGGCAACTATGATCTTACAGACAACAATCTCTCATCCCTTGATTGGCAATTTCTGTTCACTGGATGCAATACTGTTGAAGACCATACAACATATTTTTACTTGAAGTCAAAAGAGTCATCAAACTATATGTACCAATAACAACTCCAAAAACCAGAAAAGAAAGATTACCCATAACAATAAGGAAGCTTCAATCCAAAAAGAGATCACTTTGGCAGAAAAACAAATCTGGTCATGTTGCCAACTTCAAAAGCCAATACAAAAAATTATGCCACGAGATAAAGACTGAATGCACCAATTATCACATTAAACAAGAGGAAAACCTTCTACACACCAATTCCACCTGCGCTTTCTACAATTTTGTAAACACCAAACTAAAAGCCTCAAGGTCCATCCCACCCTGAAAGGACCTAATGGTAAAGACTGCAATGACGACACTATTAAAGCCAACCTCTTTAACACATTTTTTGGCTCAGTATTTGTAAACAGCAATGGATCACGCCCGGTATTTCCTAGTCGTACCACAGACAACTACAATGATCTAATACATATCGATTTTACAGTAGATAATGTTGAAAAAGTACTACGCAATCTAAACCATCTCTATTTATTCGACCGGACGGAATATGTGCCTACTTCTTAAAAAAGCTATCCACTGCCATAGCAGAACCTCTATGCATAATCTTCGAAAAATCTTTCAGGACCAGCTCCTTGCCAAAACTATGGTCACAAGCCACAGTCATCCCCATCTTCAAAACGGGAGACCCCAGCCTAGTTGAAAATTATAGACCAATATCTTTATGCTGCGTCATCTGTAAAGTCATGGAATCAATTATTAACCAATCCATTATCCTCCACTTAAGAGACAAACAACCTACTCTCTAATAAACAATTTGGTTTCAGAAAAAACTCTTACACTGCAAAAACATATGGACTACACAACTCGATCAAGGCAAAGCAATAGACGCAATCTACATAGACTTCTGTAAAGCCTTTGATTCAGTGGTACACGACAAACTACTCCTAAAACTAAAATCTTATGGTATATTTGGACACCTGCATAACTGGATAGAAGCATTTCTGTCAGACAACAAATGGTCAAAATTGGGAGCGTCCTATCAAATTCTGGGGGACAGTGGTATCCCCCCAAGGCAGTGTTCTAGGACCAAACTCTTTTCATACTCTACATAAATGACCTCTTGCAGTCCTTTTTAAAAATTCAAATTTAATCAAAGAAAACCTTGTGTAACTTTTTCAATGTTGCAGAAACACTTGGTATCTTAAATACTTGTCACAAGTGTTGGTTGTTCTATTGTTGCTTGTACTCATAAACACTAAACAATGGAGACTCATCTAGAATTAGTTTATGCCTAGACTCACAATACAGCAAGGACCATGTCAGTGTTTACAGTCGGTTTAATGTAAGGGTTCCAAGTAATATGCCCATAGCAAACAGAACTCAGAGGCAAGCAGGTTCCTCAAATAACATGTTGATTGGACATATCATACTGGCACAAACTGATGAAAACCCACTGTAAAGGTTCCCACAGTTTTCACCTAATCAAAAGTAAAGGTTCCCCTTTCCCAAATGATCAGTCACATTGTCCAATCAAGGTGCTATCTGGTTGCTTGGAAACTTCCCCCCTCCTTTTTTCAGCCATCTATGGGAACGTCCTTGGTTCTCAAGGGAAACTATTTTGTTTTGACTACAAACTCTAGCTATCTCTGTTCCCCCCTCCCTATTCCTCAGCACTATTGTGGCAACACTGAAGCCTCCAAGATGGTCTCAGTCAGGCCAGCTTCAGAGTTGACGGACCAACTAAAATAACACAAAAGAGTATGAAGGCTTTGGAGTTCTCTAGAACTCTTCATTGGAGACAATGTTATCAAAAATAATACAAAAACAGATTGGAGAAAAGGATAGGTATTTCAGCTATGACACACATTAAACTTGTGCCATCATGTTGCCATCATGTGATGTATTGCAACGTTTCCCCCTTCGCGGAGCTGGTCTAGGCATGGTCTGGGTGTGATGTTATCTGGTTCACAGGCCACCAGTTTGACACCCCTGAATAAGTTCTGCAATTCATAGCCAGAGTAAATATGAAGGCAAACTGAATGTCAATGGCAGTATTACCAGTAATGATTATAATATTCCTGTCTATTTCCATCATGCTCAAAGGTTGTGAGTTTTTGTAATCTAATGAAGATTCTGGAAAAGGCAATTCTTAGACAAACCATTATGTCATTTTTGTTGATCCTAATAAAAACAATCTAACCATCAATTTTATATTTCTTCATGGACTGGCATAAGTATAACAATTATAGGGCAATATACAAAGAATATGTAATACTTGAATGGAAAGTTACAAATTATAGCTAACAGTTAAAGATTTCATTCTTTTCCTCTCCTGATATTTTGATGTTTTTTTGGTTTTACAGTGTACAGATTTCAAACCTACATTTCTGTCAGCTCCACTTTGATCCCCCACTTACAGGTGATAGCATCCACAGCCACCTGCATAAAAAGTAAAAAGGAGGTATTTATATGGCTGCCAAAACTCTTTAAATAAACATATAAAATATTATCTTAACCCTCAAACAAAAATTAACTAACTAACTTTTCTTGGGGTCCTTAAACATAAAGGAAAGGTATCATGAGTTTATGAGAACTGATTTTTTTCAAGGACAACTGCTTAGAGCAGAGATGTTAAACTCGTGACGACATGTCATCACGTGACATATCACAATTTTTCCTCCCTTCGCTAAACCGGGGGTGGGCGTGGCCAGCGTGTGACGCATCTGGCCTGCGGGCCGCGAGTTTGACATCCCTGGCTTAGAGAATAAACCCAAGTTTTATAATACTTCTCTTAATTCCTATTAAGAGCAACTGCACCTGTGATATTAAAGTTTGATCCTTCAACTGAATGCAAAATTCTACCTTCTAGGCTGCCACTGAAAATAGAGAAGCATAAACTGAAAGGAAACTGGCAGTTGAAAAGGGGGGAAAAGGATACAAGGCTTAGAGCCCATTTCCAGTTTTCTCTGTTATTCAGGGAACACAAGGCATATTTTTTCCACTGTTTATTTTAGAAAACGAGTCAATAGAACAACTTATTAGTGTTCCTTGTCTGGGTGTAGTTTTCTCTGAGACTGAATCTTGCCTCTCACACTCAGAAGAATTCACTTAGAGCATGCGCATGAGTGAATTTACTGTTTAAATTTTAAAAAAATGCTAATTAGCTTCCTTAGCCTTAATTATTAAACTATTTCAAGCCCCATGCTCTTCTGTGGAGCTGAAATTTGGGGCTTAAATACATATCACTACTAAAAAAATATAATCACTTCTTAAAGGCATCCTGGGTATGGGTCAAAGGACTTCAGCTGCTGCAATCAGAAATGAATTGTGAATTTATATAATTTGTTCAGGAATACAATTATTGGTGCAGAATTAATGCCATGGAAATTGACAGACAAATTAGAACAGAAAATTTCAATTAAAGACTTGTAGAATTGACAAATTATACTAGGAGATATGGCTTCCCTGTCTCTTGTACAATTGGAGAACAAGGTAAAAGATTGATGCACAAAGAATTTTGGATATAGAAGCAGAGAAAGATCTAGCTGACAAGAACTGAATCCAAAATTTAGGTTGCTAAGTTATGCTTATCAGTTGTTACATGAGTTTTGCCCCATTTTACAGACTTTCCTGCCATAGTTGTTAAGTGAATCACTACAGTTGTGAAGTTAGTAACACGGTTGTTAAGTGAATATGGCTTCCCCACTGACTTTGCTTGTCAGAAGGTTAAAAAAAGCAATCCCATGATCCCAGGACCCTGCAACCATCATAAATATGAACCAGTTGCCAAGCAGCTGAATCTTGATCATATGACCATGGTGATACTGCAACAGTCATAAGTATGAAAAATGGTCATAAGTCAGTTTTGTCAGTGCTTTTTAAACTTCAAACAGTCACTTAGCAAATGGTTGTAAGTCAAGGGCTACCTGTATAAAGGTATTTTCAAATTGCCTATTACAGATAGTCCTCGACTTACGACCACAATTGAGCCCAAAATTTATGTTGCTAATTGAGAAATGTGTTAACTGAGTTTGCCCCATTTTACGACTTTTCTTGCCACATTTGTTAAGTGAATCACTGCAGTTGTTAAATTTCAGTCACCAAACTAACTGTTGTAAGTCGAGGACTACCTGTATTCAAACATAGCAATTCCTAAACATTTTAGGGTGGTATTTACTCCAGCAAGATTTGAGCAATTGGATACAATGATTAAATATGGAAGAGTTAAACTTTATAGTGAACATATGTGCATTTGCAGAGCTTCAGAGACAGAAGATATAATACTTATATTATTTGAATGTCAATTGCATAAAAAAGAGAGAGATCAGTATCTTGGACTACACTCTAAATAAACGATCTAGTAAATAAGTAAATAACACATTAATTAAAGCAACATATTTCATTTGCAGACAGAATTCAAAACTTGCATGTAATTTTCTTTTTCAATTTAATTTGTTTCTTTTAGTCTATTTTTATATATGGTTTTATTAATATTCTGTGTTTTATATTCTGTAGTTTGATATGCCCTAGGGTTAATCAACAATAAAATATTGTTATTGCTTTTGCTTTCTATTAAAAGGTTCTTGTTTATTGGTTTCTGTATTTATTTAAATAATTTATTTGCTACTGTGATCTGGTTAGCTTAGAGTGATTAAATAAAAATAAAATAAAAAAGTATAATCCAAAAGAAGTTTAAAAAGAAGTTACAACAACATTCTTGTTTGTGATAAAGTGGGATTGCAATAAATGACTCTTTAGAAAATTATTCCAAGTAAAAGCCTACAATTATTGGCCTATTTGTGGTATCTAGCTTGGCAGGTATTGAAAACAAAAGCTGGATTGAATGTATATTGGTCAAGCTTAGCAATGCAATTCTTACAAATTTGCATCTTTTGAAATATCTTTTAAGAAAGAGAAACTGTCTAATAACAAGGTAGCGTTATTTTATTAATGTCAATTCACTGATTTGTGATGGTTTTGCCCATCATGCAGAATTATCACAAAATCCTCCTCTTGCTCACCTTTATCTCCTGGCTGATATTCTTTCTCTCCATCAGAATGTCAGTGAAAGTCCGATGTGCCAGCAAGCGCTTTGTGATAGTCTGTATCAGCACCTGAACTGCATTAGAACGATTAGCGAGGGTGGTCATCAGCAGAGTAACGTTCTCCATTCGATAGTAGCAGACAGTATTTAATTCTAAAACAGCCATATCACTGGTGATCACCTACAATAAATAGAAGGCATTACGGGTGATCTTCAAGGTAATAAGATGAAAAATGGGTGTGCTACCGGTAGTAATTTTGTCAATCACTGGAAAGAAAGAGCAAATCCAGGACTTTCAAAAATTGGACAATGTTATTATTATAGTATCTGGGCTGGTAAAAAGTATAGGAATCTCACAAGATAGTTTAATAATATCTGCATGGCGTGTGTTTTTGTATGGAGAAGTGGCAAGCACAACTATGACAAACTTTCTTAAATTTATGTAATTAGTTCATTTTATGTTGAGGTATCAGCTGTAAACTTTTGACTGCCAACAATGGATTGATTGATTTTATAGAATTCAGAATAATATTACTCTGAGTATTTTATAAGAGTGGAAAACATGTGCACCTGAACAAAACACAAATTGCCTTACAAAAAACTCATCATGATCTCAATAAATAACCTAGTTCCAGACCAGGGAGCCCAGACATATTTTCAAAGATTTGTCAAACTCTTGTAGGGTAGGAGCTGAATTTCACTGGTCAGGCAGAATCATAGAGACAGGCAGTGCCTCAAAGAACCAGGTCCTATGCCATGAAAGCCCCTACAGGTGACAATCAGTACTTTGAATTGCACTCAGAAGCAGACTGGCAACCAATGCAGGTTGTGAATCATTAATGCTATATGGATGTATCAAGTGTGGCCATCACTGCAGCATTTTTAGACTAGTTATAGCTTTCAGGTGGTCTTCAAGAGCAGACAAATTGCAATATTCCATTATGAGGCAACCAAAACATAAGTGAAGGTCTGAAGGGCTTCTCATTCTAGGAATAAAGCACACAAAATGAACCTGTGCAAAGATCATCCTAACCAAAACCGCCACCAGCTCCTGGAGCAGTAGCTAGATGGTTCCCAAGTTATGCACTGGTCTCAAACGGAGAAGTGCCACCCTACCTAAGACCAAAGGTGAAAAAAAGAGATCCAGGGGCCCATCCATTTAGTCTTCTCAGGTCTGAAGCTAAGTGTCTCCATCCAGACCTGAACAATATTCAGGCATTGGGTTAGGGCATTGACGTTGGGCAAGCAAGGGTTGAGATGTACAATTGAATATCACTTGCATACAGATGATACCAGATCCAAATTTCACCCAGCAAATTCATGTATATATTAAAAAGCAGAGGCAGGAACATGCAACCCTGTGACACGCCACAAGAAAGGAGGTGTGGACACAACCTCTCTGTTAACACTGACTGGAACTGACCACTAGGGAAGGAGAACCACTGCAATATAATGCCACCCATTCTTAATCCCCCAGTCTGTCTATGAGGATACCATGGTAGAAGGTACTCAAAACTGCTGAGAAATCAAGTTGATTACAGTACCCCATCCTGGCTTGCCAAATGTCATTAAAACTTATAATCTGAAGAGAATCTATGTAACTTGCTATAAAGCATGAAAATCCTTCTGAATGGAGAATCTATGTAACTTGTTTCTATAGTGTGTCTGCTTAGCAGCTGGCTCATTTCTTGATTAATCCATGTGATTTTCTCCACCAGGTGAGCTAGAAAAGGATAAATAAACTCACTTACCTCACAGAAAGGAATCTCTAAAGTTTTGAGACGAATGTCTATTTTGTGGTAAGTATCCAGACAGGGAAGGAGAAAAAATAAGCCTTTTAGGAGAAACAGAACAGCATGGAAGTGACATGACAGGAATTAAGAGCATGTATACATAATAAATGTGTAACAAATATCCATTTGGAAACTGTTAGTATTAGAGTTGTGTATGTGCAACTATCTTAAACTGTCTCCCTCTCAATTCAAGCAGTATAGAAAAAAATATAGGGTAGTAACAAAGCTGAATTTAGTTTCTAACGTATCACAAATGAAGCTGCCAATATTATACCATTTTATTTACTACCCTATTGATTACATAATGAGAATTAGCAGGGTGATTTCTTCACATGATGTTCACTATATATTTTAGCACAACCTTAGTTGTGCCATTGTTTCTCAACAAGGTTGACACTGGTACCTTCTTTTACATCATTAGTGACCCCAACAGTTCAGTCTATGTAGATGTCACAGAAAGTAGTGTTATATTTAACTTGTGTTCCTATAAAAATCTAATAATCTTTGTATACTTACCAGGCCCTCTTGGCCTTCCATGAAGAATATGCCCAAATCGGAATAAAACAGCTCTCTCATATTCCCGTACAATCTGACATAAAAAAATGAAGATGAATAAAGATGAGTAATTTGGGAGGAAGAAAAAAAAAATAGAAGCAGATAGTGCAAAAATTTAGCTCCAGGATTTTAATAGACCTCTTAATGCCAAGTGGAGGAAATGTAAAATGATGAGAGGAATCAGCCTTGTACTTTTTTCTGTTTTAACCACCTATGGCAGCAATCCCGCCTTTATGGCTTGGCAGTCCAGCGGAGGGGGGAAGAGGGGAACTGGCCCGTCACTTGTGTAAATAGAACTATGAGCCCGCCATTCACATAAGTAGAGTTGTGAGCACGTGTGCCAGCTCAATGCGCACGTATCCCAGTTCTAAATGGGCCACGGCCCGGTAGTGGGCCACGGCCCGGTAGTGGGCCACGGCTTGGGGGTTCAGGACCCATGCCTTAAGGAACGCCACTTACGGCTTCCTTTAAATCAGGAATCCTCAACCTTTACAGCTTGGCGCCCTGGGGGCGGGAAGAGGGGAACCTGCTCGCCACTCATACAAGCCTAGCTGTACATGTGTGTGAGATGGCTCACTGCTCACACAAGACAAGCTACACATATGTGCACTGGCCCACTGCTCATGTAAGTCAAGCTGCAATCATGCGCACTGACCTGTTGCGCTGTCTTGAATGCATTTGGGTCAATATTAAAAGGGGGGGATGACATTGGGGTGTACTGTAGGCCACCCAACCAAACAGGGGAAATAGATTAACTTTTTGCTAGTCAGTTAACTAAGGTATATAGGAAGCACATCACAATAATGGGGGATTTTAACTACCCTGACATAAACTGGGAGACAAACTCTGCACAAAGTGGAAGATCCAACAATTTCTCACAAACCTAGCAGACAACTTTGGTTCCCAAAAAGTAGAGAAGGGAACAAGGGGATCAGCCATATTGGACTTAATTCTCACTAACACAGATAAAATGATAGAAGGTGTTGAAGCTACAGGAACCTTAGGGGGAGTAATCATAAAATATTGGAATTCAACATTATGCAAACACAAGCAATAGAACAAAGTTAAACAAGAGTCTTGGAGCGCTAATTTCAATAAACTTAGAGAGAGCTTGGGAAGTATTCCATGGATGAAAATCCTCAAGGGGAAAACAACTCAAGAAGCTTGGGAAATTTTGAAAAGTGAGATTATAAAAGCCCAGTCTAGCACAATATCAAAGAAGAAGAAAAATAACAGCTCTCAAAAGAAACCAGCATGGCTGCATAAAGAACTTCGACTTCAGCAATAGAGTGGTCAATGTCTGGAATACTCTACCCGACTCTGTAGTCTCTTCCCCAAACCCCAAAAACTTTAACCTTAGACTGTCTACTATTGACCTCACCCCTTTCCTAAGAGGTCTGTAGGGGGCGTGCATAAGCGCACCAACGTGCCTACCGTCCCTGTCCTATTGTTTCTCTTATTCTTTTATTTTTCTTATATGTACCCATTTCATGTATTCACAACTATGTATACACTTATACTTATTATCTTGTAAACAATTGGCAAATCAAATAAATAAATAAAAAATAAATAAATAAAATAAAATAAATAAACTCTCTGTCAAATTGAAAGACAAAAAGGACAAGTATAAAAAATGGAAAGAAGGGCACATAACTGAGGCAGAATATCAGCAAATAGCCCAAGCCTACAAAGCTCAAGTGAGGAAAGCTAAGGCTCACAATGAACAAAGGCTTGCCACAAAAGTAAAAAATAACAAAAAAGCTTCTTCCAACATGTTAAAAACAAGAAAAAAGTCAAGGAAACAATTGGTCCATTGCTGGGAGAAACTGGCAAGGTGACAAGCAATAGAGAGCAGAACTACTTATCTCATTTTTTGCATCTGTCTTACACAAAGGGAAAAACAGTCCAACCTATCAAAAATAGCACCACAAAAAAAAGTCTACCCTACACAAATTCAAATCACCAGGACCAGATGGATTACACCCCAAGGTTCTAAAGGAACTGGCAGATGAGATCTCAGAACCACTGAACTAAAAACAAAGATCCTGGAGCACTGGGGAACAGCCAGAGAACTGGAAAAGAGCTTCCCATCTTTAAAAAAAAAAGGGAAAAAATAGACCCAGGAAACTACAGACCTATCAGGCTGACCTCAATACCAGGGAAGATTCTGGAAAAGATAATCAAGCAACAAATCAGCGAACAATTAGAAGCAAACTAACTAATAACCAAAAGCCAATGTAGGTTTGTCAAAAACAGTTCATGCCAGACTAATCTTATTGCATTCTTTGACAAAGTGACAAAATTAGTGGACCAGAGGAATGCTGTCGATATAATTTATTTGGACTTCAGTAAGGTATTTGATAAAGTAGACCATAACCTACAACTTGATAAAATAGAAAAATGTGGGTTAGACATTATCACCACCAGATGAATTCCTAACTGACTGACCAACCTCACTCAATGTGTAGTCCTCAATGGAACTGCATCTACATGGAGGGAAGTACGCAATGGGGTACCCCAAGCTTCTGTTTTAGGCCCAGTACTCTTCAACATCTTCATCAATTATTTGGACGAAGGGATAGATGGGGAACTCATCAAATTTGCAGATGACACCAAGTTAGCAGGAACAGCCAACACTCCAGAAGATGGGCTTAAGATACAGAAGAATTTTTTGCTGCAACCTCCCCCCCCCCCCAAAAAAGCCAACACAGTTCTAGGCTGCATAAACAGAGGGATAGACTCAAGATCATGTGAAATGATAATACCACTTTATAATGCCTTGATAAGACCACACTTGGAATACTGCATCGAGTTTTGGTCGCCACAATGTAAAAAAGATGTTGAGACTCTAGAAAGAGTGCAAAGAAGAGCAACAAAGATGATTAGGGGACTGGAGGCTAAAATATATAAAGAACGGTTGCTGGAACTGGGTATGTCTTGTCGGGCTGCTTGTGGCTGTGGCCAGTGATGGCTCTTCGAATTTCCCATCACGGACTGACCAATTACAGGTAAGTATACTAATACATAACACACACCCCCACCTGGTCCGGTTCAACTGATTGGAGTCTCGCCTACCGTATGTAATCACGTGGGTAGGCGGGAATTTTATGGGTTCTACTGGACCTGCGCAACTCAGTCTCCGTTTGGCTCCTGAACTGTTCGGATGGATCTGTTGTTCCTCCTGTCCGTCTTCTTGGAATGTTCTGGAAGGTTGAGTCGGCCATGCCGCTCCCGCCAGGAATTTCCTGGCTGGTTGAGTTGGCCTGGCCGTTCCCGCCAGGGACTGCTTTCCCGCTATCCTTCTGGACCTGTTCCTGTCTTCCCAACCTGTCTTCTTCCCTGGTCTTAGGTACGTGTTTGCGTTTCCCGACCGGGGCTAGTGTTAGTACTGGTTGTTGCGTAGTTGTCAGGGTTTGTTCTGTTATTTCTTTTGATTGTGAAGGGCCTCCCCCTCCCTTCCTACTTGTGTTTTGTCTGTTTGAGAGGTCTCCCCCCTCTGGTTGTGTTTTGTTTGTTTGAGGGGTCTCCCCGTCCCCTATGATTATTTTTGAGGGGTCTCCCCCTCCTTCCTTGTATTTGTTTTGTTTGTTTGAGACATGCCTTATCCCCTGTTGTGCTAGAAATCCCTCGAATGTTGTTGCCGTGAATTGTGGCCCGTTGTCGGATACAATTAAATCTGGCAATCCATGTGTGGCAAAAAGTTTCCTGAGCTGTCTAATGACGGCTTCTGTTGTGGTGGAGTGCATGATGCTTACCTCTAGCCATTTGGAGTAGGCGTCTATGACTATTAGAAATGTGTGTCCTTTGGTTGGGCCTGCAAAATCAATATGTAAACTTGACCATGGTCCCCTTGGTGTTTCCCATTCGTGTTTTGGTGCTGTGGGGGGGTGTTGGCCTCGATTCCTGGCAGCTTTTACACGTTGCCACCCAATCCCCTATTTCCTTATCCATCCCTGGCCACCATACATAACTCCTTGCCAGGGATTTCATTTTTACAATACCCGGGTGTCCCTCATGTAATAATTCTAGTATGCGTTTCCTTAATCTGTCCGGTATGACCACCTTAAGCATTGAAAGTTCTGTTTGTCGATTCCAGAACGGTCTGACAGTCTCGTCACTCTCAGTTTCTGGCCATCCTTTTCCTACCCAATTTAAAATCCACGCCAGGTTTTTGTCTCTAGCTGTTTCCCTAGCGATGTCTGCTGCCGTTACTGGTAGGTTTTCTAATGTCTCTATTTGAAGGGTCGATGTGGTTGGTGCTGGGTCATCTTCTATGTCAGGTAGAGGGCAACGGCTAAGCGTGTCAGCATGATTTATGTTCTTTCTGGGTCGGTAGGTCAATTTGTAGTTATAGGCAGCCAGGAATTCTGACCAAAGCATCATTCGTGGTGACAGTATATAAGGTGCAGCTTTGTTTCCTGTGATGATGCCCAGGAGTGGCTTGTGGTCTGTGACTAGTGTAAAAGTTCTCCCGTAGATATATTCGTGGAAACATTTTATTCCGGTGACAGCGGCCAATGCCTCTTTGTCTAATTGACTGTAGTTCTGCTCCGGCTTTGACAGAGTCTTTGAATAGAATGCTATGGGTGCTTCTTTCCCATCTGGTAATATGTGACTGAGTATAGCGCCAATGACGAAAAGTGATGCATCGCAGGTTAGTGTTATTGGAAGTGTCTCGCTGTATTGTATTAGTACGTGGTCTGATGTGATCAAGTTTTTTATCTCCTGGAATGCCGTTTCTTCTCGTTGCCTCCAGGACCAGGTTGCTTTCTTGTCAAGGCAGCCTGTGTAGTGGTTCCGAAATGGTTGCTTTCTGTCGAAGGAATATATTATAAAAGTTAATGAGTCCTAAGAAAGCTTGCAGATCAGTTTTATTTGTGGGTCTGGGGGCTTCCTTGATTGCTCTGACTTTATTTTCAGTGGGGTTGATTCCTTCGCTGTCTATAAGGTATCCTAGGAATTCAACTTTGCTGGCGGCTAATTGGCACTTCTCCTTTTTTACTTTTAGTCCCGCCTCCTTGAATTTGCCTAGGACTTTCCTTAGGCGGTCACACAGCTGTTCTTTGTCCCTGGCTGATACCAGGACACCATCAAAGTATGGTACTACCCCTTTTATCCCTTGCAGTAGGCGTTTCATTAAGCTCTGGAACACCCCTGGGGCAACGCTGATGCCAAATTGTGGTCTGTTGCATTTGAGTGCCCCCCTGTGTGTCACAATTGTCTGGGCTTCTGCTGTTTCGGGGTCAACGGGCAACTGTTGGTACACCTGTGCGAGGTCTAGTTTCGTGAAGATTTCATAAGGGAACGTAATAGATGCTGTACCACTGGAACCGGGTATGCACTTTGTTGGAGTGCATGGTTAAGGGTCGCTCTGTAGTCCCCGCAGATGCGCACTGACCCATCAGGTTTAATTGGTGTAACAATTTAGCGTGGTCAATTGGTTCTAAAACCCCTTGTGCAATGAGTTTATCCAACTGTTATCAATTTTTGGTTTTAGTGTGAAAGGAACCCACCTCGCCTTTAGTCTTATGGGGGCTATGTTTGGGTTTAGACTAAAAGAAATTGGGGACCCCCGGTACTTGCCCAGTTCTCTGTCGAACACGTCTCAGAATTCTTCCATCAGGTCATCTTCCCACTCTGTCTCGGTTATGCTGTTTATCCCTGTGACTTCGATTCCTAATGGTGCAAACCATTCAAGTTCCAATAGGCTAGGTCAATTCCGGTCGACTATGGTTAGTGGAAGGACTCTGGTATATTTTTTGAATGTTACCTTGAATTGTCCGGTACCTACTATGGGGATTTTGTTCCCCTGGTAGTCTTTCAGCATTAGTGTTTGTCTTTCGAGTTCTTCTGTTGTCTTGGTTCCAATGGCTCCCTGTTTCTCTCTCTCTCTCTCTCTCTCTCTCTGGGGGGGGGGGGTGTTCCATCTTTGTCTAGGGTTGTAGTTCTTTCTTGCTCGGCATGCCCTAGCAATATGTCCCCACCATTCACAATGTTTGCAGATTGCATCTAGGAAACGGCACTCGGAACGTGGATGGTTCCCCTTGCAACTGGCACAACAAAATTCTTTCCCTTTTCTGTTCCGGTCCCTTCTGCCTGTTCTGACCGGAGTTGATTTATCCCTTCCTCTTCCTCATCGTCTTCCGATGGGGACTCAATGTCCTCATGGTGGGTTGTGGCAGTGTTTTTTTTGGGGTCTCCGGTGGCGCTTTGTTCATCCTCCACATGGTGGCTGTTGATTTCTGCGTTGCTTCTGCTGCGGTGGCTTCCTCTATTGCTTCTTGGAGTGTTATTTTGGGTTTTGTTAATCATCGGCCCTGGAGTGTAAGATCTCTCAGTCCCAGGACCACTCGGTCTCTCATGGCTTCATCCATGTTTAGGAATTTGCATGCTCCAGTGATGTCCCTCAGCGTTGCAACGAAATTGCCGATGCTCTCGCCTTCTTCTTTTTTTAATTTATTAATTTTCAATAAACAAACATACACAAACAAAACACAACACATGAAAACATAAAACTTCTTTTTGGAAAGCAGCCTAGTCCCGGGTTACATCTTTTTGTACAGGCATAAATCAAATTCATGCTCACTTTGTATACGATTTCATATCTTATTTACCATTCTATATTTTCTATATGGCTTCTCCCCCCTTTTCACTCTCTTAATTCTATTTTATATATTTCATCTCAATTTAAATCATTATTCTTGTATCTTTTGTCCGTTCTGTAATTATCTACTTATCTTTTCTCTTTAACACATAATTTCTCCTGCAATGACTGATTGAAGTATGATGCTTTTATATCTTTCCCCTAAATTTAACACTTCTTCTTAGAAATGGCGATTTCTACCTACCAGGAATTACAAGAACAAGAAGACTGGGATGAAGAAGAAGAAGCCAACTTTAATGAACAAACAACTTTAGCTGGGGAAGAAAAAGGAAAGAGGGGAAAGAGAATGGAGAATTTAAGACTGAAAAGAACAACCAAAAAAGGGAAAAATAAGGTGAAAAATCGATACAATGTCAGAAAGCAACAGAAAAGAGGAATGCAGAAGAGAGTGGAGATTAAGAGGGTGGAGATCAAGAGATGGGGGGGTAAAAAGGCTAGATCAGAGAAGAAAGGAAGGGAAAAAAGGAAGAGAAGTTACAAAGGTTTGAAACAAGATGTAAAGAAACAGGTTTTTTTCAGAGATAAAGGGTAAAAACATAATTAAAAAAGAGATTCTGCAAAAGTACATAAGACTGTATTTGTATTTGAAATAAAGTTAGAAAACTGGAATATTATATGATTTAATAAAATATTAGAGGGAATGTGTAAAATGCTTAAGATTTAACGATAGAGTTTAATTTGCTATGGATTATTGTTTTAATTATATTATAAACTTATTTTCTTATTTTAAAATGTAGTATGTAGCTTTAGAATGTACTAAGCAGAATCAGAATGAAAATTATATATTATTTTAAGTGCTCTCGCCTTCTTTTTGGTTGCGCCAATAAAATTCATGTCTTTTGATTAGGCAGGAAACGGTTGGTGTGTAGTGAGCCCTCAGTATTCTTTCCAGGTCCAGCTAGGCCATCGTTTTCATGTCAGTGGGTGCCGCTAATGCTTTGGCCATCTTAAATACCACGGGACCGCAATGGGTGAGGAAGACGGCTCTCTTCCTGTGTTCGGATACATTATGGAGGAACATGAGGAATTGGTCGATGTACGATTCTCACTCTTTGGTTGCTGGATCGAACGGTGTGGGTGGCGTGTTGTTTCCGGCCATTTTGCCTCGATGCGTTGCCGGTGTTCGTTGGTTGCTACATGCTCGCTGGTTCCCTTTGTCTCAGTATCCCACCCTCATCACCAGTGTTAAGTCGCGGGAATGAGACTCAGGACACCAGCATGATTTCCAATTGTTTTACTTCCGTCTAGGACTGAGTGCCCGAAGAAACCACGGCAGCCCTTTTTATACTTGGGCTGCTCGCGGCTGTGGCCAGTGATGGCTCTTCAAATTTCCCGCCACCACGGACTGACCAATTACAGGTAAGTATGCTAATACATAACAGTTTGGATAACCATTTGCCTGAAGTGGTGTAGGGTTTCCTGCCTAATCAGGGGGTTGGACTAGAAGACCTCCAAAGTCCCTTCCAACTGTTATTCTATTCTATTCTATTCTATTCTATTCTATTCTATTCTATTCTA